CCTTCCTTCCTTCCTTCCTATTTAAGCAAGACGAATAGTAAGCTTGCAATGATAAATACCTTTTTTAACACCCTGGAAAATTTCTCTATCATTGCAAGCTCACCATTCGTCTCGCTTCAATGGAAAGGCACAGCTACCTTTCAAGATGTCGCAGGGAACTGTGAAGGGGACAATTCCTGAACACGAGTAAATTCCTTTGTTTAACCTCGAAATAATGACGTATAGTTTCTTTTCATTTAGTCCCTGAAGCCCCAGATCTTTATTCGTCAATCGAAGAAGCACGCCACGCCCCAAAACTGGTCAGCAGCACATCACGAGCAAAGGAAAGAATCTGCGTCGCGCTGTATGACTACGATGCACAGGGTGAACAAGAGCTGACGTTTAAAAAGGACGATCACATCAGGCTATTATATACAGAAGGCGATGTGTGGTGTTGTGGGGTGTTGGGAGATAAGAGAGGGATGTTTCCTAAGACCTTTGTAAAGATGCAACAATAATGATGGTGGTGGTGATGGTGATTGTGATGATGATGATAATGATGATGATGATGATGATGGTTATGGTGGCGGTGACTGATGATGGCGATGATGATGTTGATGATGATGGCGACAACAATGGTGATGATGATGGTAACGATGATGCTTTGTGTTGATAAAGATGATAATGATGATGCATGGTGATGTTGGTGTTGATGGTGGCGAAGATGATGGTGATAATGATGATAGTGATGATGATGCTAGTGATGTTGATGTTGGTGATGGTGGTGAAGGTGATGGTGATGATGATAATGGTTATGATGATGATGAAGATGGTGACGATGATTATGGGGATGATGATGATGACAGTGGAAACTAGGAATGAATGTTTGTATGTTTTCTAAAAATACAAGAGCGTCAAATAGGAACAATTTTTTAAATTCTCATTCAATTTCATCTTGTTGAATTTCTGCACAAAAATATCGTTATAATGAAAGGCGCTTGCAATAATGCCTAAGTGGATCATTCAGCGTCGACATAGACATTTTCTAAAATATCGAAAATGGTGCATTTTGGTCTAGATTGGGTCTAAACACCTTCACCATGCCTTATATGGTGTTGTTTTTACCCAAACTAGACCACAATGCATCATGTTTATCAAAGTCAGAAGAGGTGTATGTCTTTGATACTTGATAGACTAGTTACGTGGAGTTGTCATCATTGTGAATTATTCTGTTATCAGTTGTTAATCAGAAGTTGGATTGCACAGCAAAATGAAATGAACAGTGACTACTTCGACGATACGGCGGCCATCTTGCCCGGGGTCAAAGCAAAAAGATGATGGAAGATATGCATAGAGTTACGTGTGTTTGTTTTTCTTTCATGGGTAAAGGTGATCGATGTGCCGTCTTAATTCATCTTTCGTTGTATTCTCTTGTGATGAGCTGATACGTCAATCGCCGACATTCCTGTAACAAAGCTTTATTTGTCTACCTGGACGCCCCATAATACATCGTGACCCAAGATGGCCGCCGTATCATCGAAGTAGTCCATTGAAAATTGTATGTATACAACGCATTTTTCAATTTGTTCTAAAACTAAAAGATATCATAGGTAATAACAATTTGTTCTATAAGTAAAAACTATCATAGGTAATAACTAGACGTTCTTTAATTGTTTTACAATTATATATAATTAATCGCCCAAGTCGTAGTGATTATTGCTGAAATGCATCTTTTTACAAAAGGTGTGAAAATGGGCCAAAAATGGTAAAACGGCCAAAAATGACATATTTTGATTCCCTAAAAAAAAAATTACCGAACCGTAAATTTTTTTTGTAAAAAGAATCATTTAGGATTTGAATATCAGAGAAAAGACAAAACTCGGAATAAAAGATATTTCAGTATTGCTACCGCTATGGTAAACTTTGCAAAACCTCATAATCACCACTCGAGCCGTGATTATCGTGTAATAATCACTAGTCGCTCGACCAATCACAGCGCGTTAAACTCTATATTCAAGTCTAAAAATAAACTAATTCTCAGTTAATCGGTCATAATATAGAATAAGTAGATAAGTAGAATATATGAAATTTTAGTGTGAGTACTTTGCAAATGGTAGACCATGTTTATAATTTCATAACTTGTAAATCTTTCGAAAAATCAATCAAATAAAGAAGCAATGTATTTTAATCAATATTTATTATATTATACAATATATAGCTATTTTGTATTAATATGTATTGGATTGATATTTCCTGGGGAAAAAATACCCTGTTATGCATCCTTAATTAAAAATTCATATCTTTTAAAAGTTTTGAAAATGGGCAAAAATGACCTATTTTGCATTCTACATAAATAATGGATATTTTTTAAGAGGTTTGAAAATGGAACATGTCCATGGACTATAGTCCATGCTTTTTGCCTAAAAATGGCCAAAAATGCCCTATTATGCATTCTTCATAAACAATGCATGTTTTTCAAAAGGTGTGAAAATGGGCCAAAATTGATCAAAACCATGGGCTATAGCCAATGCTTTTTGCACAAAGATGGAAAAAAATGACCTATTTTGAATCCCTCATAAATAATGCATGTCTTTTCAAAAGGTGTGAAAATGGGCCAAAATCGATCAAAACCATGAGCTATAGTCCATGCTTTTTGCCTAAAAATGACCAAAAATGACCTATTTGGCATCCCTCATTAATAATGCATGTCTTTTCAAAAGATGTGAAAATAGAACAAAATCAATCAAAACCATGGGCTATAGTCCATGCTTTTTGCCCAGTAATGACCAAAAATGACCTTTTTTGTATCCCTCATAAATAATGCATGTTTTTTCAAAAGGTGTGAAAATGAACCAAAATATATCAAAACCATGGGCTATAGTCCATGATTTTTGCCCAGTAATGACCAAAAATGACCTATTTTGCATCCCTCATAAATAATGCATGTTTTTTCAAAAGGTGTGAAAATGGCCCAAAATCGATCAAAACCATGGGCTATAGTCCATGCGTTTCGCCTAAAAATGGCCAAAAATGACCTATTTGGCATCTCTCATAAATAATGCATGTCTTTTCACAAGGTGTGAAAATGAACCAAAATCGATCAAAACCATGGGCTATAGTCCATGCTTTTTCCCCAGAAATGGCCAAAAATGCCCTATTTGGCATCCATCATAAAAGATGAATATATTTTTTAAAAATGTGAAAATGGTTCAAAATCAATCAAAACCATGAGCTATAGTCCATGATTTTTGCCCAGAAATGGCCAAAAATGCCGTATTTTACATTCTTCACTAAAAATGAATATTTTTTCAAAACGTGTGAAAATGGATCAAAATCAATCAAAACCATGGGCTATAGTCCATGCTTTTTGACTAAAAATGGCCAAAAATGACCTATTTGGCATCCCTCATAAATAAAGCATGTCTTTTCAAAAGGTTCGAAAATGGACCAAATCGATCAAAACCATGGGCTATAGTCCATGCTTTTTGCCTAAAAATGACCAAAAATGACCTATTTGGCATCCCTCATTAATAATGCATATCTTTATAAAAGGTGTGAAAATGGACCAAAATCAATCAAAACCATGGGCTATAGTCAATGCTTTTTGCCCAGAAATGGCCAAAAATGCCCTATTTTGCATTCTTCATTAAAGATCAATATTTTTTTCAAAAGGTGTGAAAATGGACCAAAATCGATCAAAACCATGGGCTATAGTCCATGCGTTTCGCCTAAAATGGCCAAAAATGACCTATTTGGCATCCCTCATAAATAATGCATGTCTTTTCAAAAGGTGTGAAAATGGACCAAAATCGATCAAAACCATGGGCTATAGTCCATG